CTAGATTAATAGTCGTTGGCATGTAATAATAATAATAATTACAGACCGGTAGGTCCTATAGCTAAGGAGGAGATGCATGCCAAAGAAAGTGGCGGAAAAAGAATAATAATAAGAATTCGTGGAATAACAATGTATTTGGCCAACATTTCCAAATACAATAATAATAAAAAAGTGGCAATGATGTTATGAAGCAGGGACTGAACGACTCTGGTGCTGGCTGACACACCCCTGATATCTGAAGGTGCGAGGTAATACCACACGTACGGTATAAGGGATTGTACCACACGTGTATACCGGCCAGCATGGTATATAAAGCGCGCAGGTTTGCGCCTCGAGACAGTCGCTATAAGGCTCACCTTTCAGGAAGAGGAAGGGGAAAAAATAGCCGCGCTTCGTCTTTACCTCACAGATTCAGGAAAAAGAAGGAAGAGGCCAAAGATACACTTTGAGAAACAACGAATGAGTTGACGTCTTGACACTTTGAGAACTCTGACGTCTATGAATGTACGGACGAGTAAGATACGGAATCGTTCTGTCGTGCATCATGTGTAAATAGACATCAATAATGTCATACAAATAAAGTCATTTCATTATATATCTAAATAATAGGTATTGCAGTTTTCCGATTAAGCTACTGCATCGACGTCCTGCCTAGCGGTAGGAGCAGGAAATGATCCAAACATAATCAAACACGCGTAAAGGATACGATCAAGATTTGATGCGAAATATTATCAATATTTCATTAACAGACCTATTCAATAGCGGCAACCATATGCCACATCTGTACTTAGTCTATTCTCAAATATAAGTGCGTGTGATATGTGTAAATGTTATGTGTAATGTGGATGTGCAAGTGTATGAGCTTCCAGCGCGTTTGGATTGCCCGCGTGCGTGTGCAGTGAACCGCGGCCCTTTAAATAATTAATTAACACCTGTATCCCAGTAGCGGCCAGCATTAGGGCCATTATATTACGATAACGAGCGTAGCAGGGCGGAAATGAGTAATGCAGTGTGCGTGAGCTCATAAACAAAAATTGGAACTGAAACAAGAAGGCATGGCAGTGTTAGTTATTTTATAAGGGACTATGAAAGGTCACACTATCCACGCTGTCGACTACAAATGTAGTCTTAAAACCCATTATCAACTTTTGGGCGTAAGCATTTATACCGATTTAACACTGCCCATAGCAACTAATACCCGAGCGTAAAGTGTTTAAAACATGAAACGGCCAAATATTTACCTTAATAATTATCGCCTACCATAATAAAAATGCAATGAAAAAGTTCTACGGTGTGAACCATCCATTGATCTGCACTTCCAGCACTGCAAATCAGCGTGTGTGCGGGTGGGGACATTTGGTTTAAAATTCTTAGCCATTGAATTTAATACTTTAGCAATAACCTCAGTATTGAATTTGTTTATGCAGTTAGCTTTACCTAATCTATAGGTGTATACACCTAGTTACTCGGTTATTTTAGCGGCGTCTAGTTTTGAATATCTACAACAAAGATATAAGCATGCATCAGTCATTTCACAATTTTCAACCGCAGACTTTCATCATGGCTGGGATGTCAGAGTTAGGCGGCTACATCTTCCAGATGTCACGATCGATCACTACAAAAACGGGCTGATTAATTTCCAAGCGAACGAGAGCGACATATTCGTAGCGTCGTTTCCAAAGTCGGGTGAGTTTTGTCACTATTATGATTTGCTCAATCACATTTTCGTGAATCATGTTCAAATGTTACGTCAAATAACCCACGAGAAGATGGCAGTTTAGGCTACAATCAGGACAAATGCCCTCTACTACCCGATGTTATTAGTTATGTTGATGGCCCGCTCTCCATCCACAATATGGACGCAAAATCATGCGCGATAGTTTGTGTCATGCGCTATCTATGGTTTTCGAGCAAACCCTACTTGGAATATTTTCTTACTCCCAGTTTCCTCTGCCGTGAGTAAACGTTATCATTCAAATGAATATAATGTTCTTTATAATAATCGCTAAATATATTTCATTCATTTATAATTACAATTTCTACTGGTAATTATTGTTTTATTATAGCATAAAGAACATTTATAAATTATTACCTACATGCTAGTATAGTTGTAGTCGTTTAACATTTTTTCTCTTCATACAGGAACAACATGGACACAGGAGATAGTTTATCTAATCATGAACAACTGCAATACGGAGAAGGCGAACGAGAAAATTCTCGAGGAGAGGTTTCCCTGCGTGGATTTCACGTTCGAGGGAAGGACGCCAGTCAACCCTGACACACTGCCGTCACCGAGGTTCATCAAGATCCACCTTCCTTACAGTCTTCTGCCGCAAACAATCAAAGATAAAAAGTGCAAGGTGCTGTATATATAATATATGTTATTTATATATATATATCAAGAGCGAATAAACACCTGTGTGTTAACACCGGTTCACACCGGTAATAAACACTGTTATATATGAATATACATTATGATTATATATATATATTAATAAATATAAATTATATGTTTACATATTTAATAAAGTAAGGAAACACGAAATTATATCATACGCGAAGCGATATGCCGATTAGTCTGCTTATAGTTTGTATATTCTTAGATTGTGTACGTATCGCGCAATCCGAAAGACAACTTGGTGTCCTACTACTTCTCTTCTTGAAAAATGATAAAAGTTCAGAAAGCGGAGAACCTGTCTTTGAAGCAATGCGGAATGCTCTTTCTTGGAGACAAAAGTGAGGATCAGTCAGTGCATGTAGATGCATGCATGCGTTGGCTGTTTACGTGCGCGCGTGTATGTAGGCGTGCGTGCGTGGCACTGCGTGCACGTGTGTGTTTGCTGGCGTGAGTGCGCGTATGCCTTCTAACTTGCCACATTGTGTCGCGGGTGCTCGGAGTGTATGTCTTGGGTAGTATAACTGTTGATATCAATTCATGTTTGATCAATGTTTTTGAACGTTTTTAGTTCCATACGGGCCGTACTGGAAACATAACCTGAGTTACTGGGACGTCAGAGAGGAAGCAAATATTCTATTCATCAAATACGAGGACATGAAGAAGGTAGGGTATATATATATATATATCTTTATTTATTTATTTATTTATTTATTTATCTATTTATTTATTTATCTATTTATATACATGTATATTGTGTGGGCGTTATTGCACAGGCACTTGAAGCGTTTCAATAAATATAATGCTAACTAAATACGAAATCTATGTACTACCAACTTCTTAATGTTTCTATGCTCTCTTTCACCTATTATTGCCGACAGTTTCCTGTAAATTCCGTCTAAATCCTACGTGCAACGCTACCAAATCCTACGCTGCAGCCGCCATTGCTTTCGCGGCTTACTGTTGCACGCTTAATGTTATTAGCTCCACTGTTGCACGCTTACCCTAATATATATAGTACTACTATACTATACTATACTATAGTCTACTACTATATATATATTAGTGTAAGCGTGCAACAGTGAGCAGCGAGCAATGGCGGCTGGCAGCGTAGGATTTTGGTAGCGTTGCACGTAGGATTTGGACGGAATTTACAGGAAACTATCGGCAATAATAGGTGAAAGAGAGTATAGAAACATTAAGAAGTTGGTAGTACATAGATTTCGTATTTAGTTAGCATTATATTTTATTGAAACGCTTCAGGTGCCTGTGCGTTATTGCGTGTGCGCGTGCGTTTGTGTGCGTACGTCACTGTGCACAAACTGTAAGGACCTAACATTGTGGGATGTAGAGGCGTATGTCATCGCATTTACGTGAAATTATTAGGCGATAGAAAGTAAATATTGGTAGTAAATAGAACTTATGGCTTTCATCTATCATTTGATTATTGAAATGGCCCAAGTACTTGTACTATTCTTGCTATCACGTGGAATTGCTTGTAGGATCCCAATGCAAGCATCCGTAAGATAGCCGAATATCTGGGTAAGGAACTCACAGAGGACCAAGTCGACCTGATCGCTGAAGCCACTAGCTTCAAAAAGATGAAAACAAACCCGAATACAAACTATGATTGGCTGCCAGAGAACGATGTACCAGAAACACACAAATTCATGCGCAAAGGTGTGTAAACGGTCTTTTGTCATAATTTTTCTTCCTGTTGGATATTGTTATCGTTATCGTTATTGTTATTGTTATTGTTATTGTTATTGTTATTGTATTATTGTCGTTGTCGTTGTTGTTGTTGTTGTTATTGTTGTTGTTGTTGATGTTGTTTTGTTGTTGTTGATGTTGTTGTTGTTGTTGCTGTTGTTGTTGTTGTTGTTGTTTTATTGGTATTGTTAGTGTTGCCGAGATTAACTTTGCGCTGTTAATGTTGTTTGTGTGTCGGTGTGTTGGTGTTGTTGCGGTCGTCGGCGAAGGTGTTGCTGTTTTTAGTTGATGTCTTGTGAGTGCATTTCTGTTATTGGATTATATTGCACATGTACTTTTTGGAGCATGTATGCCCCAATTGCTATATTGGTAAAGTCTTCATCCCAATTTACCCGGTTTACCTGGTGATTGTGTGCGCGCGTGTGTGTGTGTGTGTGTGCTCGTGCATGTGGTCGTGGGCGCGTGCGTGTCCGTGCACGTTTGTATTCGTGCATGTGTTCGCGGGTGCGTGAGCACGTACGTGTGTGCGTGTGCGTGTGTGCGTGTGTGTGTGTGCTCGCTCACGCGTATGAGTGTGGTATCTATAACTATAAGCTAAAACTATCATCTTTAGTTGTTGAGATTGTGTCTGAAATATTTTCCTACAATACGATATAAAGGCCAAGCCACACTGCAGCGACAACGACCGACCGTAACGACAAACGACTTTTCAGAAAATTAGAAACTATTGTTTCCTATGAGCCGCCATCGCACACTGACGCGACGACGACCGGCGACAACCTCGACGACAAAAATATTTAGAAACGTTTCTATTTCCCAGCGACTTTCGCCGGCGACATTTTACAAATGGCCAATCACAGCAGTTTCAATCGGCACGTGACATCGCCATTACGTC